GTCTTGACAGTGCTGCATCTTTCAATAATGTTCCTGGCTATTTGCGCATGTCATAGCCAGAAAAAGGGGCGAAAATTAATATTCCACTTGGGTGTCAGAGCTGAAGCTAATTAAAAACCCATCACTACTGCAGTCATTTGACCCGGAATGAATGCCTATTGTACCCTTTCCCACTGAAGACAAAGGATAGATGTGAATGATTTTTAGAGGGTTTTTTGTTGTGGTACGCACAGTGGTGCTTCGAGCCATATGCTAATGTCTTCATGCTAACCTGTGTGCAAAGACATTGATAAAATGCTATTGTTAGCAAGCGGCAACCTCCGTGGCTGGCAAACAAAGCCAAGACAGAAGAAACAAAAACCGCAGTTCCTCGAACGGCCATTTGAGGCTGGGTACATATGTGAGTCAATCTCTGTAAGGCCCAATATTAAAATGTTTACAGCCTGGTACAAAAACAGTTTAGGTCTATATGGTTAAATTCCCCATTCATAGCTCAACTGTATGTAGGGGGAATTTTTATGTAACTCACCCATTTCAATTTTATTAAGGCTTTAAGTGATGCATAATTAAGGGAATGGTTGCTTTGAGCGACAGGTCTTTTTCATGACAGACAGCTGTTATCAGTAACCAGGCTTCATTCAGCCTGCTTCCTCTCCACCCACGCTCCACGTTTGCCCATTTTGTGGCTTTAATGTTAACCATCTCGTGCTACTTAGAGCTGAACACAACAGTGGAGGCTTCATTCGTTTTGCAGGCATTCAGTCACGAAGCTCCACTTCTAAAATGGTGGGATTTGAAGATGCACGGATGAAGGAGCCAAACCGAGGAGTGACGTCATAAAGTCATGCCTGGGGGAATTAGACTTCATCCCCTGGGGACCTTGAATTTCAATCCCGCCTCTAGTTGTCTTGCACCGAGCTGTGCCCCTGGCATAGCTTAAACAAGGTATCAGCTGGTCAGTCATATGCTACATTTACTTATGGTGAGTAATAGCAGTAGTTTCTTCATTTTAAAATAATTTAATAACCCACACACTTTATATTAATGTAATAGGTCAACCACAGCCACATCAGTTCTGTGTCATATGCTGGCTGAAACAAGCTTTTTATCGAATCATTAGCAAGTTACAGAGCATTTGTTGGATTCGCAAAGATTCAGCTAATTATGTGTGAAACTGTAAAAGAGAAGGTTTTATTGAGTTAGTGATGATAATGGCAAAAAAACAGGCATCACTTTAAGGCCAGAGCTACTTAAGTTTAGATAAATGACTAATGGTTTTCCACTCTCATTGTAAATAGGCTTCACTGACAGGTTTGCCTCCCACTCATTAGGGCACATATAGATAAAATGACAGCTGAGGACAATACCACCACTGCATAAAAAGTCTGCTCGCTGAGTTGAATGATGACTTGGATGAAAGTGGAGTCATGCAAATTTAAAATAAAGCCTTTCAACTATCAAAGGGAACTGACTGTACATTTACAAAGGCGCATTTCTAACAAATCCTTCCTTTAAACCCTCCTACGTGATACTATATAAGATAACTGGGACAATGTGTGGAGAGCAACATTAAAGTCCTCCTCCACTTAAAAATCAGTTTTTCTTCTGGTTCCTGCGGTGTGATGTTTGATCTTCACTGTGCAGAATGATGTATGTGCAGAGTTTGACACCAGGAGGATGTTTTCACATTCATGAAGGTGGAAATTGTGCTAATTAATAGTCTGTTCGTAAGGGGCGGGGCCTGTGAGCATTTCCTCAGTGTAAATGCTGGCTTAATACTCCTTTTACCATTTCAAT